AAAGAAAAGAAAAGAAAAGAAAAGAAAAGAAAAGAAAGACTCTTGAAAAGGAAACATATTCTAGAAAGTGAAGTGAAAGCTTCTCTGAAAGCAATAGGAATAAACAAGTCAGGAATAGATGAAATGCCAATAGAACTGTTTCAAACCACAGAGACTGAATCTGTCAAAGTCCTAAAAAGAATGCATCAACAAATATGGAAAACAAAACAATGGCTCACAGATTGGAAATGCTCAATATTCATTCCAGTCCCTAGGAAAGAAGATGTCAAGGAGTACAGTAAATATAGGACCATTGTTTTAATTTCTATGCAAGCTAAGTGATGCCCCAGGTATTGTAACAAAGGCATTTACCTTATATGGAACAAGAAATGCCTGATGTTCAAGGTAGATTCCAAAAAGAAAGAGGCACTTGAGATCATGTTGTAAATATCCATTGGCTACTTAAGACCAGCAAAGAATTTCAGATCAGTCTATGTTTTATAGACTACAGCAAAGCCGTCTGTTGTGTAGATCATGAGAATCTGGCTTGTTCCTTTAAAAAGGGTGTGCCTCAGAACTTGATTGTCCTGATTTGTGACGTTTATTGTGGACAACAAACTACCATTAGGACAGAACATGGAGAGGCAGAATGGTTTCTTATAAGAAAAAAGTTAGACAAGGGTGCATTTTGTTCCCTTATCTATTCAATTTGTACACAGAACAGCAAGCCAGACTAGATTCAGATGAAGGAGGAGTGGAAACTGGTAGAAGAAGTATCAGTAATTTAAGAAATGCAGATGACACCATCTTACTGGCAGAAAGCAGCAACAAGCTGAAACTACTTTTAGTGAAAGTGAAATAAGAAAGAGCCAAAGCAGTTCTGCAGTTCAATATCAAGACAAAAATAATGACTACAGAAGAACTACAAAACTTTAGTGCTGACAATTAAGAAATTGAAATAATTAAGAGATGTTGTATTCCTTGGTTCAGTCATCAGTCCCAATGGATTCTGCAGCCAATAAATTAGAAGACTGAAACTAGGAAGGAAGGAATGAGAGATAATCAGGTGCAAGGATATGGACTTTAGTGCTGACAATTAAGAAATTGAAATAATTAAGAGATGTTGTATTCCTTGGTTCAATCATCAATCCCAATGGATTCTGCAGCCAATAAATCTGAAGACTGAAACTAGGAAGGAAGGAATTAGAGATAAACAGGTGCAAGGATATGGCACTGGAGACCAAGATCATCCACACTCTTGTTTTTCCAGTCACCATGTATGGGTGTGAAAGTTGGAAAGTTAAGAAAGCTGTCAGGAAAAAAATGGTTTGTTTGAAATGTAGTGCTGGAGGACAGATTTGCAGATACCCTACTTGTAGACAGACAGAAAGTACAAACAAGCACGTCCTAAATCAAATCAAACCTGAACTATCTCTGGAGACAAAAATGTTGAAACTGAGGTTGTCCTGTTTTGGGCATATCATGAAAAGGAAGGATTTTCTGGAAATGACAATAACGCTGGGAAAGGTGGAAGGCAGCAGGAGTTAGACCAAATACGAGATGGATTGATTCCCCTAAAGGAAGCCACAGGCTTGAGTTTACAAGAGCTGAGCAGAGCAGTTGAGGACAAGGCATTTTGGAGATCACCCATTCATGGGGTTGCTGTAAATTGGAGGTGGCTTGACGACAC